TTAGGGTTGATCGTTACCTTTTTATACCATACATAAACCGATTTATTGTAAACTTTAGCAAAATTTACACTCATATTCTCTCCATATCCGTTATTATGGTATTTCTCCAAAAATGTTGAATTTTACATTCAGAGCCCTTTTTCTTCTTTTTTTTTTTAAAAAAAAAAATCCCAAGATGCTCCCACTTCGGATCTTGAAGTGGTATAGAAATTGTTGACTTTGGATCTCAAGTTCCAAAGTTCAATTCAAAACTTGAAGATTCGAAATCGCAGTAACAAAACAAAAAAAGAAAAAAAAAACAAGAAAGAAAAGTCTTCATGATTGTGATCTAAAGTTGTTGTCACTTTAGTCCTTCAAAGTTTATGGGGGTATTTTGAAAAATATATAAAAAAAAAAATTGGGTTATAAATGTAAAATTTATAATTTTGGGTACAGAAATGTAGAGATGGATATCAAGGGGGACTTCAGCGTAAACTCCTCTATACTTATCTTAAAAATCAAAACTCCTTCTACAATAACATCCATGTCTATGATATTATGAACATACCGGGTGTTATTTAAGTTGTGTAGCATTCTTTTATTAAAATTGAAGCTGAATGTCGTGTCCATCTCTGATAATTTTATATGCATGTTGAACGTTTATTGAATGAATCAATAAAGCAACTTCTTTATTAGGTGCGGTTTGAGTGAGGGTGCAATTTTAAACAATCAAAGTAAGGCGCACATCCAAACTTTGTTATAAGATGTAATTTTGGTATCACAAATTCTTAGGATGGCCCAAAAATTTATTATTATATTTAATTATAAAACTTTAAACTTCAAAAATGGTAGATCTATTACTGCATGAAAATAAACGGTCCAGACTGCATGATGTACTATTTTTGAGACTTAAAATCTATTTTAGTTTTTCATATCTATACATCTCTACGTTGTGAGATCAATACGATGGTTTTCTAACATCAAAACAGCCTTTTCTGATTGATTGTTCATATGCACCTTAATTCTACCAAATAACGCATCAACCCTATATAAATCTTTTCCTTATCCGATGCATTTACCATTTCGCTTTCTACATGTTACCGTTATTTACCGTAACAACGAATCCATTACCAACGTAACTAACGGTTTTCTAAACTTGTAGCATGGGAACAAGTAGCAAAAGGATGGGAATGGGTACGACCAGTACCAAGGCCCGGTCCTCATCCCCATAGGCCCGACCTAGCGTTGCAAAACAAAAGAACTAAGAGATGAAAATGAGGGGGGAGAAATACAATAAAATAAAATAAAAAGAGGGCCAGGCGATGACTGGCTCTAACCCGATCCTCGGTCCACAGTTTATAGTCCAAGCTCGACCTTTTTAGGGCCTGGCCAGCGGGGGTGGGCTCTTTTAGGGCCGGGCAGAGAGAGAGAGTTTACACCCCTATCCTGTACACATGCAAAAGCCTTTTCTTTTTGCATCCAACATGAACCCATTGGCCATTTCAAAGGCTGTTTTCTGTCATGTTAATCGAGAGAAAAATTAGTACAGTCTATCCTTTTAACCCTTAATAGAGAGAAAAAATAGTACAGTCTATCCTTTTAACCCTTACTCTTTCTTCTGTTCGTTCCTTCTCTCTTCCATTCCCCTCTGTTACTCTCTCTGTAACACTTGTAATTATGAGCCCCTCTCTCTTCAATAAAAGTCTAAAAAAAAAAAAAACCATGAACCCAAACACTTCACAGTACATGGACCAAACCCTGAAGACTGATACCATATCTTGTATATAAGGAAACAGCTATATCTTTCCATCTAGTAATAGTAGTTAATAGAAGGTTGCATAAAATCTTTAGCACCAACCTTGAGGCCATCTGTTTGTAGGGTCCCTAGGGGGCAACCAGCTGCTCCTCTTCTTAGAGCTTGCACCCAATTCTCTACTCTCTCTCCTCCTCCTTGGAAGCCTGAAGAGAGAGATTAACTTCAAACCATGGATCTTGCTTTCCTTTTGAGCATCTAGGACTGGAATGAACTCATCATATGCCCTAATTGAATTGAGCCTATAGTACTTGCTCTCCAAGGATTCAGCTGGAACATTCTTTGCTAGCATAGGGGAGGCACCACCCCAATTGTTGGATCTAAAGGATGGGTGTTGTGGGGTGAGGAACTCCAATCTTATCTTTCTCCCTCCTTGCATCATCATATCATTCAAACTATGGATGCTCACTGTTTAGAGAGAGAGAGAGAGAGAGAGAGACCTACTTGCAAGATGTTGAAGATGTTATATATGCATATAGGCTTCACCTAGAGAGAGAAAGATAGAGAGAGAGAGAGAGGAGCAACTTGCAAGATATATAAGATGCTCTACCTGCTTATAGGCCTTTAGGGGAGGAGAGAGAGAGAGACTAGCAAGATGTAGAAGATGGTCTATATTCTTAGAGGCCTTTTTAGAGAGAGAGAGAGAGAAATGTTCCCCTTGTTGGATTAGGGTTTTGTCCTCCAAATGGTGCTTTTGTATTGAAATGGAAGCTTTGAAAGATGACAACATCCGGGCGATTTTTTTGAGACCACTTGAGCTGGGTGCGCCACCTGAGAGAGAGAATTTTATTGCACCTATATTATGCTCCCTCAGGAGCATACTTTGCTTTTACTCCCTCGGTTAGAAGATGTGAACTTTTTTTTTTTTTTTTTTATGAAGGTTTGGAAACTACTTAATAATTGCTTAATGATTAGTCAGAAAATAACAAGTTTTGAAATTTTAGTTTCCTATCGCGGGTCTCTATTAGATTTTTAAAAAAATTAATTTTTTCAAGTGCATGGTGGGTAAAATTAGGAAAAATTGTTTTTATCGAGGCCTAAAATTTGAAGTCTTAAAATTAATTCTAAATAAGATTTTACCCGAAAAGAGAAGAGTAAAATATCTTTTGGCTTATTTTTTAAGTTGGAATATGAGTTGGATGTAGGGTGGTGTAGTGAGATCAGCAACCCGCGACCAAGAACAAGAGGGCTTAGTTGTGAGCATCGAACCAATCAGTATGATTGTGATATGGAGGTCCATCTCTCTTGAGAATAGCCATTGTTGGGACCCATTTTTCTTAACCACCAGCTAATGCTTTCAGTACAAGTGGAGGGCTACGATTTGATTTCAGTCCGGTAACGAATATAATGGCAAAAAATATCATTTTTTTATACATACAGTTCCAGGATTTTCGAACAAATTATGAAGCAAAGTATTTTAAATATCTTAATGCATATTTTTAAGCTTTCAAACTCTTAAAACTCTTTGATTTTCTAGCTTCTACTTGTCAAACACGTCCTAAAGGAATGAAGTTCCTCCTGATTATATAAGCAATTTTGTTAATTTAGGGCAGTTGAGATGCATTGCATATTTCTACTTTTTCGCATCTTATATCTTTTTTTATGCCAAAAGATTTTATGCTTTTTTGCGAACATATCGTGCATTCACTCCCTCAAGCAAAGCCTTTTCTAATAATATTTTCAGGCCCCAAAGTTTTGGGGACTTAACCGACAACTTAACCATCAATCATCAAAACAAAAATTCATTCACTCTTCTAGTGGGCCTTACAAATTTAACATCCTAAAATAGAATGGAGGACATCTAAAAATTAGATTGGAGAATTTAAGCTTTTAGAATTAAAATGTTCTATTGAAAATACTCATCTAGTCATTCTAAAGTGGATCTCAAAGTTTCAGATCGTGAAAATCTTCCTACATAGGCCTTTTGCCTTAGGGAAATCTTCCTACATAGGCCTTTTGCCTTAGGGAGTAAATCTTCCTACATAGGCCTTTTGCCTTAGGGAGTAAGTGTATTGTGGGCTCCATCAGGGTAGGCTAGAAGCTCTCTATGGTTGCTATGGATGGTACACAAGGAGACTACAACTTTGCATCTCCACAAAGGCCACAACACAAGGCTTCAATGTAATATGGGGTGCCTATGGTTCGTCACTTTCTCACATAGGAAATTTTCTCTGATTGCGAGCATATTTATTGATATATGCCTATACGAGCCTGATTTTATATCTTACAGCTAGGGATGATTGTAAACATTTTGTAAGGTAAACAATCTTATTACAACTATGGATGATTGTAAACATTTTGTAAGGTAAACAATCTTATTGTATACTTTTCCTTTTATTATCCTCTTGTTTTTCTTTCATGACTTTTACTATATTTTCTTTCCAAAGTTGTAAATTCTTTTAACTATATACATACACTTTTCCTATAAGGAAATTATACAATGAGACTATTTACCTTTGGTGCAAAGTGGTCACAATTAATTTTGACCCTTGAATTTGAATTGGGTGACTACATTTATTTCATTGATCAAGTTTAAAGTTCAAAAAAAAATTCTCGAACTTTATGACATACCCAATTCAAAAAGATTTCACATCGGATGGTCATAAGTGATGGTGACCTCCTTATACCAATCGCAAATGGTATCATGTATACAATCCCTTTCTTATATTGTTCTTTTTCTTATTCTTTCTATTGCATTACTTTCTTTTCTTGAGCTGTATTTTTCTTTTCTTTTCTTTTTCTGGGATAAGCTTCTAGCTACAGATCAAAGCATTAGTGACTGCGGTAAGAGCATCACTCTCATAGCATATATGCCATTAGTTGCATGATGTCCTTAAGGGAATACGCAGATCCTATGACACAAAAATGTTCCCCAAATTATCAATAAAGATATGGATTGTGTTGCTTCCCATGAAGGAATTTGTTAAGAGATTCCCAGCCTAGGCACAGTGCACAATGTCTACCTTTGATTCTTCAATCAAAGCATCATTGACAAGAAGATATCCCTAGAGAATCAAATTTTTTTCTATATATCTCAAAACTTGGATGAAGAACTACATGTACGCTTCTATGAAAATACTGGGATTCAAGAAATAGTGCCTTAGAATTCTAGACTAGTGAAAATACTGGGATTCAATAATAGTGCCTTAAGAATTCTCTCTCTCTCTCTCTCTCTCTCTCTCTCCTGTATATATCAAGCATTTTCACCATGTCAAGTGTATGTGGGATTTACAAGAGGTTTGAGGCACACTTATTGATGATTATAGCTCAATTTGGCTACACTTTTCTATACTTCATAACTGAAGCTTCTTTCAACCATGGAATGAATGTCCAAGTTTATGTGACATATAGGCATTTTGTGGGTGGTTTGGTAATGTGGCCTTTGGCTTACTTCTTGGAGAGGTTGGTGGGTATATAAAGCTTTCCATCTTGCTTCTACTTCATATTTTGGAGGCCAGTTTATAATCTTCAGATCTTTAAATTTCATATTCAATATCATAATAACAATTTCCATGGCAATCTTGTAACTTATGTTTCAAATTCACTTATACACAGTAGAAGTAAGTTGAAATATGTCAAATTTTTAACTTAACACCCTATTATAAGTGGTCTTACATCACATATTTTATTTTGATTAGTCACCACTCATGTGAAAACTGTAAGTTGCTATTTTTTTTATTTTTTTTTGGGTATTTTAGTGTTAGGAATCAAGCTTAAGAATAGTTTTGTTTACTAATATTGAATATTAAGTTTTACCTAACGAAGTTCCATTTTTTTTGAAGGAAAAGTCGCCCGAAATTAACGTTTGCTTTATTCTTTGAGATCTTTGTGCTTTCACTACTTGGGTGAGTTTTTTTTTTTTTTTGCAATAATTTAGACTTGTTAAAATTATAGAATAGCATCTCATTATAGGTTTTACCAAGGTTCTAATATTGCTATTTGGCCTTGAATTCAGAGTTAGTTTGACTCTAAATATGTACTTTGCAAGCCTGAGATATACTTCTCCCACCTTCCTTGCATCCATGGTGAACACCATAGCTTCCATGACTTTCATAATTGCAGTGGTAATTAGGTGAAGAAATATTTCTCATTCACTTCTCTTGCTATCCACTTCTAAGATAAAATATTGTGAATTAGAGCTTATAAAAGTTACATGTTGTCATCAATATCTTTCTTGTCTCCAGAATTGAGAAGCTTGATGTTAAGAGCTTACATGGGATTGCAAAGATGGTTGGTACACTAGTTTCCTTGGCAGGTGTCACCGTCATGACATCGTACAAAGGACCAAGAGTGAGAAACTTATGGAATGCCCTAATTCATATCCAAGGAAATACAATCCATGAAGATTGGGTGAAAGGTTCACTGCTCACAGTGGCTAGTTGCATTACTTGGTCTATATGGTATATTATGCAGGTATGTTGGGCATAATAGGAGAAAACATTGGCAATATAATGTGGATCATTTGGTATTGCCAACGGTTTTTGCTATGATTCATATGCAGATAGTTGAACATCATTCAAGTAGGAAAACATCCCGAGAGGTAAAGGATTGCATACTATAAGAATATTTACCTTGGGCATAAAGAAGTCACAATCACTCGCAGCGGTGAGATTGGAAATCATCTGCGAGTTTGGAAATCAACATTTTGGAGTGTGTTACAAGTTTAGGAAGAACAATTTTTTTAGCTTAGTCAATGACTACACCAAGCTACCTAATTTTACATCCAACGATCAATGATGATTGTGACGTTCTTAATACCAAAAGTAAATGACTTATTGCATACTTTTACTAAAGATAATTGCCATTTTAAGGGAGGCATATTTTCCACGGGGGATCGTCATATGCGCTACTCCATTGGGAGCAGCCACCATAAGATGATTGGGAAGGGAGATTATCTATGAACCACTCTTGTCAGACCCACCATACGCACGGTTTGTCTCTGCTGGTCCGATTCCAAAAATCCAACATTGGGGTGGGCACTAACCAGGGAGCATATCTGTAAGCGTGCTCCATAATGAGCATGATATGTCTTCCCTTTTTTTCATCACGAAATAAGGACAAACAGTGATATTTGAAAGCTTTTAATTTTGAACGGGAGGAACAAGTTTCGGGTTATTGTCTTTGGTTGAGCAGTTTCTATGCCTTGATCAAGGGACAGATCCAGATTCATGAACCCGGAAATTGAGTGAAATCCTCTTAGTGTACAAAGTGCCTGAGTAGGAGTGTTATTTGCAGGCAAGCACACTAAAGCGATATCCTGCGCAGCTCTCCTTGACAACATGGATGTCTCTTCTCGGTGGCCTGCAATCTGCAGTTTTCGCCGCCATTGTGGAGCGTGATCCAAAAGCTTGGACTGTTGGTTTCAATATAGACATGTGGAGCATAATCTATGCTGTGAGTTCTAAATCTCATAAGTCAGATGATTTTTTTTTTTTTTAAATATATAAGAGGCGCTGTTTATTCTATTATTCTACAAATAAAATATCAATTATTAATTCTTCTAATTGTGTTCCTTCTTTGTGAAAAAAAAACATATAGGGAGTGGTATGCTCTGGTGTCATAATCTTCATCCAGTTGTGGTGCACTAAAGAAAAGGGCCCAGTCTTTGTGACCATGTTCAACCCCCTATCAACTGTTTTCGTTGCCATCCTAGCCTATTCAGTTTTTGGTGAAAAACTTTATGTAGGAAGGTAAAGCATGCTACCAAATTTGCACTACTATCATATTTATTTATTTGTTAATGACCATGTTGTTATTGTATTAGTGTTAGTTAACCTTCACCCTTCTTATTACCATTATCCATATTGATTATTCATATTATTATCAAAGTAGACCTTTCTAGTGACCAAAGTACCTCTTGGAAATCTGCCAAATTATTCATACTATTATCAAAGTTGCCCTTATTAGTGAATATTTTGCATTTCTTTAATAAGATTTTTTCTTTTTTGTCTTTTTCTCTAGTAAGTGAATGGAGAATTGGGGAAGCAAGTCCTCCAATAGGACCACAATGTATTTGGCTGCTATCACAAAAGTAGTAAAAACTAAGAATATTAGAAATGTGGGCACCCACAAATATGTCACATGCAAACAATTTGCCTCCCTATTGGCTGGGCATCCATGTCCACAAAACCACAAGCCTTTTTCTGTGCATAGAGTCAATGCTTTTTATGCTTTTCTTGTCAAAAGGGCAAGTCTGATTACCCAAGCTCTAGTAATCCACGCAATGTTTCTATGGCTCCTTCGGACTTTCCTCTAAGCTGGAAAATTAGAAACATGGCTCCTTTGGACTTTCTTCTCTAAGGTGGAAAATAGAAACATGGGTGACAAAACTAAACCACAGTTAGGTTTGTATCATATTTCTTTGATTATAGGTCACACTCTGAAGGTTTTCTATATGGAATTTTTTTTGCAGTGTATTGGGAGGAGTCATGGTTATAATTGGGCTCTACTTGGTGCTATGGGGAAAGGAAGCTGACCAAACAACATCTGATATGCCTTCTCAAGAATGCCAAGAGAGAAAGGAAGATAATCTAAAAGAGGTCTTACAAGTTTAGAAACAATGTTTCTTTGAGTTTTTTGTACCCCCTTGTTGTCTATCCATTTCCAGTTCAATTATACAAATCCTGAGATAAGTTGACGGCATAAATATGACCTACAATTTTCATTTTCCATTTATTTCTGGAGAGACCTACAGCCGAAAATCTGCAGGAATTTCACATGCTCATTAAGAATCATGCTATACCCAAATTTGCTAATCTTCTCCAGAAATAGACAAGACATCCCAAGAACCAAGAAACTGGGTTAATTTTGATATTGCTAGCATCCAGGTCACTACATGAAATTGATGCAGGACAAGTGCTGCACTTTTTCACCTATACAATAAATATACAATTGAGTTCCATTTGCAATAAAATGAGCAGAAACACATTGCGTGCCTCCTTAGAAGTAAAAGGCTAGTCAAGAAAGTGTAGAGAGAGAGAGAGAGAGAGACCTCTTTTGCAACAGAAGGGGCAACAATACATTGCCTCATTCGAAACAAAACAATCAGAGTACGCATTCAGAGAGAGAGAGAGAGCTAAGCAACAGGGGACCTGAGAACATGATCCTGAGAGGTATCCACAGCTGATGGGGGCATCCATTGCCACATTGCCATACCATTGTAGTGTGGGAAGGCCATTGTTTTGTTGAGTGGTGCTGCAAAAACCGGGGTGGGGTGATGAGCTAAGAAGGGTGGTGATGGTGCACTCATGCCTTTAATTTGCTTCTCCAATATTTCCTTGTCTCCTTTCAACTTCAGCTTCTCATCTCGAAGCTCGTTCTTCTCTGCCTGCACTCACGAAAGACCACCAACCTCAAGCTCCCAAATACTCTGAGCTTCTCGCGCACTTCTCTCTCAATCCAAAGAGATAACAAATAGTTATTCTAAGTAGCTTTTGTTCACACAAGAAGAAAAATCAGTTAACAATTTGCAAATTACATGGGGGGTTTACTCTAGTCAGCATATACAGAAAATTTCCTCAACTTGAAAATTGGCCAAATTTCCCTCTCTCTTTCAGGACAGCACGACACACAACAAAGCTTGTACAATGCCCAATGAATGTAAGCCAACACACTAGTTACCGAATGTTCACATCTCGTAAAATCAAAACCAGGCTTCAAATAACTTACCTTTAGATTCGTGATGTCCTCCTGAAGCTTTTCATTTGCATTTTTGAGCTCTTGAATCTCGGTTCTTAATTGGTTGAGAACACGAATTGCATCACATAAAATTGCAGATTTATCAGTTTTTGGTGGTCTTCCAGGCTCCAAAACACAGCTCAGCTCCAAAAACCTAGAAAATGAGGGCAGAAAAGATGTTGAACATATGAAGTGCGTACAGATGGAACCCAATGTTGGGAACTTCTTGATGAGGTTCTTCAGAGAATAACAGGGGTATATGTATGTATGTGTGAGTGTGTTGGGGATTATTTCTGATGAAGAAAGTTCCAAATACAAAAATAACAATAAAAGAAAAGGAAAATCCATCAGTAATCCGAAACATATCTTTCTTCCCAAATTCCAGAACACATTTCTACAAGGTTTCAAAACAAATGGTGATGGTCGTCACTATTGTTTAGTGATGCATGCAATGTCTGATGTGAGACATAGCAATTACCATAGATATTGAATACAAATCTAAATTAGACAGTGAATATAAATGGAATATAAGAAGTCAATTACAAATAAACACACATGCACCCTTGCACATGCATGTCCACACACACACACAGACACAGAAAAGGACTACAATAATATGCATGGAGAGAAACACCAAAGATAAACACAGGAAGCATGCCTGTCATTCATCCTGTCCCTCCTCATTTTCTCTCGACAGGCTTTGGTTCCAGGACCACTGAAAGATTCTTCAGGACCCCTGTCGACAAGTATCACAAAAACAGTTAAGCCATTTATTTTCACTGCACTATCCTACAATGAAAATTTACTAAACTACGTATATAAAAGCTATTTCTTTGGGCCCAAACTGATTCTCTAATAATAAGTGAATAAAAACACTCATGGAAAACCTCAAAGAAAGAAGACGTAACCATATCTTTAAGCTCCGTGCTTCTTATGTAAGCAGCAATCATTTGACGAGACATTATGATCAAATTCAGAGTTGTTACAGTTGGATCCCAGAGTAGAGGGAATTTGGGCACATGAATATGAAGCATATTTTATATGTCTTTGACATTCAAATCCCTATCATTAAACCAAATTATGAAACTTTTGAAGACCCAGACCATATAGTAAACAAGTACAGAAAGGTGCCCATTGAAATAAAACTTCAAATTCAGGAAATATATCAAAACATCCAACATCATATATATTTGCCTAATGCCTTGATAATCTCCAATTAGCCCGGTAAGACTCTTCATGAAAGTATGTACTTAAAAAGTGACAGAAAGCCAACACATAGACAAAACCTTTACTAAAGCCACATCACTTATCTAATGGCTGCCAACAGTTTTAAGGAGCCATCAATTGCATGGTCCAACTATCTGCACATCACGAAGCCCCCATGATCAGGGGCCGGCAAATGAGCTTGCTGGACTCAATATTCTCTCCAAGTCTCAAACTTATCATGAAGCTTGCTTGACTCAGTGTCAAAAAAAGAAACATGAGCTTTTAAGTCAAAGACCCAACCTTTAACCACAACTTTATAACTGTCCACTAGATTAATAGGCCCAAAGTCCCCAGTATCAAGGGCACTCAAGGTCTACCATACTGCTGTTTACTTACCAAGCTCTTAACATATCCTTCTTCCTAGGAAGTTGTAACTACAAAAACAATATTTTCCTTTACAAGGTTTTTGAATCTCATTCCAAAAGCAGCATTTTCTAACAAATTATTATAGATTCATAAAGTTCCACACTAGAAACTTATTCCAGTCACAACTATACTTTATTTTTGAAACTGTTGACTTTGTATTAAGTTAGAGAGCCACACAAGATACAAAAAATGCAGCCCTCTAGAGAGGGCAAAGTATGGCCAGTAACAGGGTGTCCAGGTCAAAAATGCTGTACAAGCAAAATATTACATCGCTATTAAAAAAAATGAGCCAAACCAAGAAATCTTCTATGATAGTGCTTCAGAAGCGCCCTCCTTGGTAGAGCGTCGCCTACCTGGTTGGCCTCCCTCCAGTTATGTCCCCCTGAGACCTGTGTATGCCTGCAAATATCGAAAATCTCATCAAAGACTGCTGTGAGTCTCCAAGGATGGGTAGCCTCGAGTGAGGCCCAGGAGATAACATTTCTAGGGTCACCCTGTACAACCAAGACTGTGCTCCAAGTGGAGGCCTTCCAATAGCGCTCAGGCTTCGGCATGGTGGAGTCCACAACGCCAATGGGAGAGGCGTAGGAAAGGACAGTGGTACCGTCGTGGTTTCCAAAGATACCACAATGCCCGCCGGACCCAGGTTGCCATGAGAACACCTGTCGAAATTAACTTTGGTTTGGCCGGTTTCCAGGGGCCTCCAAAAGGATGAGTGGGGAACAGGTCTGGAGTTGTGGCATAGAATAGTACACCAATTGAGATGTAGGTCAATCAAGGAGAGGAGCTTGTAAGGGTTGTGGTTGGTGGCCCAGAAAATCACCATGGACCTGATGGCCTCCTTAAGAGACTCCCAATGTGCGACCTGTCCCTGGAATATATTAAGATTGTGTTCTCTCCAAATGGTCCATAGAGTTGCAGCAAAGGAAGCCTTCCAAAGCAGAGAGCCGGACTTGGGCCATGGGAGGAATTGCATCTGCAGGTCGACCCATAGTTGGCTTGCGAAGGTGCAGTGGATAAAGAGATGTAAGTTCATTTTTACATCCTCCAGACACATGGCACAGTGGTTGGGAATTTGCACACCTCTTTTTTGGAGTTGGTCGACCGTCAGAAATCCCTCCGACAGTGCAATCCAGTTGAAGACAGATTTTCTAGGGAATAAAAGGAATACAAGCTCAGAGTAAGATCGAAAGATGGGGGGAAAATGCTAACACAGGGTTGATGAGGTTGTGGCTGAATGAGGAAACGGTGAATGTTTCCAAGGGAGCCGATGACAAAAGAATTTTATCATGACCCTGAGAGGGAAGGAAAAGAGAGTGGAGGATAGAGGAAAGTTCCAAAAAGGCGGGAAGGTCATCTTCTCGAAATTCCCTGCGAAAGTCTAGGTTCCATGCCCGGGAATTCCAACAAGTGCCAAGAGGTCAGCAACCAGGGCACTGGGGTTTCTAGCTAAGCGGTGGAGATTGGGGAAACGAAGTTTCAGGAGGATATCACCTATCCAAAGGTCATCCCAGAATTTGACTCTATCACCTAGAATGAACACGTGTGAAGGTTTTGAAAAGTTGGAGCAGCAAAGAGTGGATTTCTAGAACCACAAGGAATGGTGGCAGGCCCTCTCAGGAAGATATAAGGAATGGAATTAGGTGGTATTTGTCGCTAAGGACCTGGTGCCACAACTGGCCCTCCTGAGTGGCTAATCTCCACCACCATTTACCTAATAAGGCTAAGTTGTTCTTTTGGAGGCTGCAAATCCCCAAACCACCTAAGGTTCTGGGTATACAATCCTGCGCCATGAGATGAGGTGATATCTCTTGATTTCCTTAACAGTACCATAAGAAGTTGTGCATTAATATTTTCATGAGAACGTAACGAGTCTCGTCCTTTCCTTCATTTCAAGGCTTAATCAAATCTTCAAACCCAGGTAAAACTAGCCATATCAATTCAAATGAAGTGAAAGAAATGTTTGTCAACCACAAAAACAGAGGTGCTTAGCAAAGCGATTCTGGGGAGTTAAAATAGAAAAGAAATTCAATCCAAGACAAAGAAAAAGATATTGCCCAAGCTGGCATTACACAAGACCTGTGTAGTCCCATAATCTTTCAAAAGTAAAATTTAGCCCTGAGAATACTCACAAAATGGTATTAATTTTGATGCAAATGTTCACTTCATGTGTGAGCTCCCCACTCAGGCACCTAAAAACCCCACTTCTATATCCAACCTGCCATTATTCTATTTAAAGCAAGTGAAATCACCATCAAAGATCCAGTGAACTCCTTCACAAACAGATTCATAGTTATTTGTAAGTTTCTTGTTTGAGAGAGACTTTGAGCATTTGGTCATAGGCCTCAAAAGAACAATATGCATCAGAAGGCATGGCCAACACCGTGTAACCCAGACACACTCCTTCCAAAAAGATTCCTTGACAGCTCCACAGCTGAATTAAACCTCATAATGCCATTTTTAAAGAAAATAAAACCTACCATGTGAATTATTTGGACTCCTAACATTCCAAGATGCAGTGTTGATATATACCACAAACATTGTTCAAACAAAATGGACCACCCGGCGCCTGCCTAGGCCTGGGCGTCAGTACCCAGGCAGCCTATGCGAGCGCCTAGTTGGGTTCCCAACGCCCAATCCTGGTGGGGGCACCTAGGTACTGGGCCCCTTTTCTCGCAATTAGGTGGCCCCTAGTGGCTTTTTTGGGTCATTTTGACCCACAAATTTTCTTAAATGAATGTTGGGGGTATTCTAAACCCCCATATTGGAAAAAAAATCGAATTTAAGCACCCAAATCAATTGATGCAACATCCAAAAGCTTACCCTTCTTGTATTGGACATTTGGGCTATTAGTTTTATACTTCTCTTTTGTATTTCACCTTGCCTAGATGTGATTGTGTTCATGTGTCAGTATAGAATATGGCATACTCAGTTTGGATTGCATAGTTGGAGGTTAATACACCATGGAATACATATAAATGCAAAAAATACAAAATTGACAAAAATATTTGCATATATATGCTTTTGAACAACACATACATGCAATTTTTCTCCTCAAGGCCCCTGAGGTTCTGGGTGCCCGCCTAGTACCTGGGTGCTGCGTGCCAGGCTGGGCGCCTAGGGGCCAGCTAGCATTTTTTGAAACAGTGACCACAAATATAATCAAGATCTATATTTTCTAAATATATGGTTTCCAAACCATTTCCATTTTTCCTTTCATTAGTCATTAAAATAGGGAATTTTTTCTTATAACGAGACTGCCAGTAACTGATATATTGCAAAAATGTGGTTATCATGGGTGTAAATCCCTGGATAAATTGGTGGTGGCGGTAGGTGGATCACCATAACAAGTGAAACCATTTCCTCTTTGACAGAGGATTCCATTCTTCATAACTAGAGCCCCTACCATCTCTCCATAACTGTTTTGGGACTGATATTGAGCAGAGCTGGAACAGAAAAAATCATCTTTCATTTATGCATTGGTGAATATATTTTGTGCAATTCTATTTTCCTAAATAAAGTTTTTTATTTTTTAAAAGGTTTCATTTAGCACTGTAAGATTGTGATAAGTTTTCTTTTAGGATATGTGGCAGCGCTACTTTTCTTATGTATCTAGGAGTTTTATTTCATTATTTTACAAACCAAATAGCCCTTCCTAAATCAGTCAAAAGACCAAGGAGTTTCTATTCTAAATAACCTAAAATGATGACAAAGGGAAAGACAATATTACACATAATGATAAACATGGATTGATTTATAAATATCAGAATAAATCAATGGAACTTAATGACCGAGCTAGCTCAATTAACTTCTATAGTCCTTAACTCCTAATCTTCGACAAATTTCACACAATCAAATGCAATGCTTCTCATTATTCAATGATGCTATAATGGATTTCCTGCAGTTTCAGTATTTTTTATATCAATAAACAAAAAGAAACATATCAAATCACATTCCTATAGAATAAAACAAAAAATATCATGTGGAATAACTCCTTATAAAAGGGAAAAATAATAATAACTCGTACAACTATGGCATCTATTGTTGCATCCAGTATGAACCCTGCTCTGCACTATAATATGCCAATTCAATCAAACCTAGTGATACATAATCATAAACAAATTGAGTTGTTTGGAAAACAATATATACCAAGTATTTTCTTAGATGAATGATGAATACGATCAAATTGTAAACAGCTTAGATATCTGGTTTTCAAATAAAACCAACTCATCGTACCTTTTTCTCAAGGAAACTTTCTCACATCCTGCATCTTTAGAAGGCTTGCCAATGCCCACACTAGAATTTTAAGATGGAATCCATATCAATTCAACAAACCAAATAGATAGAAAACGCAAACAGCAATATATGATTCTGAGGTTGCACTATAATAAATAAGGGTGGATCCAAAACAAATTTTGCAAGTGCTTCACAGGAAATTGCATATTCTTTCAGGAGTAACTGTAAGTACACTCAAACAACTCTTATGACCTAGATACATCAATCAAAAAACTTTTCCTATCTCAGATAATTTTTTATTTTTTAGAAGATCTTTAATTCTTCAACTATAAACAAGCGAATAGGAGATTTGATTAATGATTTTCCAAATCAAACCACGGTTTTCGGTTCGGTTTAGTAAGGATAGAATACAGTCTGGGGTCCAAAAAGCTCCAAGGCAATGGATGATAAACACTAAATGAATAAAGGGGCAATAGCATCTGCCAAAAGCATAGGAAGGAAGAGATCAAGACCAGGCAGAGCAACTACTAGAAACTCTAAAAGGAAAGTAGGGTTTCAAACTTTCAACTCGTCACATATTTTCATGTAATGAGAAACAATTTCAGTAGTTATCAGAACATAGAAAACTATAATTCCTATCAGACCTAAAGAAAAACAGAACAAAATAAAGCAAAGCACATAGTGAAAATTTCATGTAAAATCTCAACTACAACAATGTTATCCCAGTGATTCAAAAGTTGCAAAGACTGTTAATCTAACTTCATCCAATAACATGAAAATGCAGAGATGAATTGCCAAATAAAAACATCAATAATCAAATAAAACAGTATAGAATTAGCAAATCTTACAATCTATAGTCTATGAAGCATGAATTCTGAAATGATTCACATGATTTCTATGAAATCCACTACTCTATTAGATCAATAATGCAAATTAAAACCATTTTACAACTCTCTCAAACAAACAAAAAATCCATCAATAATGCAAATTAAAACCCTTTTACAACTCTCTCAAACAAACAAAAAATCCATCTTCACGCAAGAGACTTTTTCACTGTCATCAATAAATCCCCAAAATTTTCTCACTAAAAGGACCTCCCCGCATCAATGAATAAACAATATACCCAAGAACCCCACCAATATGTTCAATAAAAAAAAAAAAAAAAAAAAAAAAGAAAGAAAGAAAGAAAGAAAGAAAAGAAAGAACCCAACCCAACTAGATACCCAAATTAAGAACTCACTCAAATACAAAGAACAAAGAAAGACATGGAAAGACAAAAAAAAAAAAAAAGAGAGAAATCCATAAAAATGGATTATCATACCTGGTAGAACCAAGCCACGAAAAACCAGTGGATGGAACCTCTTCTATAAGGTTGTAGTCCTCCCAAACCCAGCTACTACTGTCCTGAAAAGAACCCATCTCTCTATAAAGAAAAAACCACCGCGATTATTGGGGTTGTTGCAGAAGAGAGAGAAAAGGTGGAATTGTTGCACAGAAGAGAGAGAGAGAGAGAGAGAGATTGTAGAAATTAGAATGAAGCAGTTCCTTCCACTTTTGGGGGTTAAAAACAACTGGAACGAAGACCTGGGAAGCCAATAGGAAGATGATACAAGGGCTAAAAGATTGGCGTGGAAAAGGACCTAAAGGGCCAAGGTATTGGTGGGATTATCCCATAAGCTAACAGATGAAAAATAATCGACATCAATGTATGATGTGTGTATGGATAAATGAGAAGAGGGCCCACTGCCACTCCTGATTATACTCAAATATCATTTCCCCAATATAGAATGGAATATCCTTTCACATTCTATGCTTCTCTATCAATGTCAAATCAAAGCCAATCCATCTCCTCTTGTCCTCTCTTTCTCATGGACTTTTAAGCTTTTCTCCAACAATGATTGTTAAGGCATATTTGATACGCGTGAAAGTGTTTTTTTGAAATAACTTTAGTAGGTATGGGGGTTATTTCACATCAAATAGCTGCTATTTGATGTGAAAAAATATGCTGTAACAAATTAATGAAAAGTTTTAAGTATTTTTATAAGAAAAAACTCCCTTATATGATTAAGTGTAATGATTTTTGCACACCAATTAACAACCACTTGATGTGAAAAAATCTTCAAAGACCAATTAATGTGAAAAACTCTCACACTTATTCATATGGCGTAGTTCTTTTATTTTTATGCATAACTAACGTGCACTTAGCAAGTATGGGTCAATATTTTTAAAAAAACTTGGTGTTTGTGCAACCTACTTGATATATATATATATATATATATATACCATCTAAATGGATTTTTAGTATAGCTTCAATCATAATCTCACATCTAATATAGTTTTTTATTATATATTTTTAAATCATTTTGACATGAAATGTGTCACCTAATAAAAATCAAAAAGTATATTTGATGAATAAATTGGCCTTTCAAGTTATATGGGTATTTCAATTACTTTTTAATCAGAAATATGGCTATCTTTTTTTTATAAGATGTACCCATGGACACACCTTAAATTTTATGTCAAAATGATATATAAAATAAAATAAAAAGGTCATACATTATACACCGTCAGTCATCCAATCAAAGGTTAAATGCTCAAAGGCTAACTTAATACTTTTATGAAGAAAGTTATCACAGTCGTCCATATATATTAAAAAGTTGGGAGTTGCAGTCACAGCTTTAAATTAAAAAGTTGGAAGTAGTAGTCACAAATATTTTATACATGGGTGTGGTTTGTATAAGGCTAAGGCCTAAACAATCAAAGTAAAGCATACCTTCAAATAGTGTCAAAAGTTGTAGTTATAGTACTAAAAACCTTTATTATAGCTTGAAAATTTATGTTCATCTCTAACTATAAAATTTAAAGCTTAAAAAATAGTTCAATGAAGCATATCCACAAACACTTAAGAATCTTGAAAATAGACAGTCTAGATTATACATTACAAGATACAGTATTTCAAAGACCAGAAGACCATTTTTTTTATGTTCATGTATCTCAAGGTCAAGATAATTGGATTTGAGGGTTTTTGGGCATGAAAACTTCTCGAGGTGTATTTTGGAGGTGCACCTTAGTTTGATTGTTTGGGACCTCAACCCTTATACAAACTTTTCCCTTTCTACATTGGTCCCCCACACCTGTATTTTCTCTCATAAATTTCTTCATTTTCTCTTCCTTATCTCGATGAGTCAAATAGAATGTTCCAACCTTCAAAAAGTTGGATGTTACTTTTTTGTTCTCTCCTTTGGGGCAAATATTTGTGAACGTTTCATTGTTTCTTTATGGAAAATTGTTGCTGCTGTGGTAACTCGAGAGCACTTCTTAAATATGGTCCGGCACCCCAAGGACATAGTTACATGAATCTTTACTTGGGACTTGATTTGAAGTATTTTTTTTGGAGCCCCAAATCAACTTTTCTTTGAACTGAAACTAAGATTATCTGGAAGTTTGAAGAAAAAAAACCTAGCTTTAGCTTATGGAATGAAGGAATAAAAAAATTAAAAAAATGTAATTCAGAGATAATGGAGCTGTTTCTTTTTTATTAACTTACATTTACCATATTTCATGATTGCAGTAAGAATTTAACGCGGCCAAGTGTCGAATATCGGCTGCAGGACGACTAGGTGGTGTGTTTTATTTACTACAGTAAATTACTGAAGGCGTCGTATGTGAATGCTTTACTATTGAGTGCTAAGTTCATTTTTCTCTCCTCTTCTACTGTTTTTATATTAGGGTTGTATACCTTTAAATCATTTATTTTTCGTATAAGGTCACAATCACTTTTGATCATTGGATGTGAAATTCAATAGATGAAATTTTATCACAACATTCAAAAAATTTTGTTTTAAATTTTGTACCCAAATATTGAAACACCCTCAACCACCTAATCTCAATCTAACAATTGATGATAATTGTGACCTCTTTGTATCAAAAATAAAAGATCTCATTGTATATATTTTTTCATATTTTAATGTATCTTTCAACTAAAATATTAGCCTACTCCAACTGAGAGATAATTTTGCTCAGTAAGAAAAAGGAAGTGTGAATGTTTTACCCAATTCCCATGTATTTCAACTGCAACCCCTCTATTCTGCAAATTATCAAAGGTGAAACTTTGCTGAGGACAAGACGTGAGCCACACACCTTATGTGGACCGGGAAGCACCAAACCAGGTAGGCAGGAGTGTCAAATCCCATAGACAACCGTAGCATGATGCCATGGATTTTGGAAAGATAGGTATACTATACTCTCTCTCTCTTTCTCAAAATTTGGGAAATCGTTTATATAAGGTCTCAACCCTATGCTATTGAAGTAAGGTGCAACATCTCAATGTTTGAAAACCTTTCAATTGATCATCTCAATCTAGAAATGCACGGATACAAAATAAAAATAAAAATAAATAAATAAATTTAAGTCTTTTTAATATTTATAGATATGCTCATTACGCACCATTTTTGAATTTTTTTTGGTTATAATTCAGTGGCGGAAGACATGCCCCCCTACCCGTTTTTCTCAACAATATTAGGGAGTCACAATTTTGAAGATATTAATAATTAGGGGTGTCAGCGATAGAAATGGAAACCACAATGTGATAATTGGGTGTGGGGATGTTACCAGCACGACCCCAGCCCCTTTCTTAGTGATCATAAGGTTTCCGATATAGAAACTACATATCCACTAAAATTTTAAGCGAAAAGTTTATATAGAGCCGAAGCTCTAAACAATCAAATTTGAGCCTACCTCAAAAATTTCACTAGAAGAGGTTGTTTTGATTCCCAAATATCTTCAAATTGATCATCTCGACATCAAGATGCATGGAAATGAGAAAAAAATGGATTTCAAATTTTAGAAATAGTGTATTTTGCAGCGCATTTTTGGACCATCAATTTTCTAGATTTTCAAGTTTTCATAGATCTATCGATCTACATTATTTTTGAAGCTTTAAACTGTATAAATGAATATGAAAATATATTTTAAGTCTATCACAAAGATTTCCAATATTGAAACCACATTTCTCGACACTATTGAAAGGCATGCTCTAATTTGATTGGTTAGATCCTAGTCTCTATACAAACCGCACCCCAATTTTAAAGCTATGCCTTACTTCCTTAGTATAAGCACAGGAATGCACCTTATACCAACTTCAAATTTAGGTATCTGCTTCTTATTTTTCAGGATCAAGGAGAGATAGGATGCCCCATTCAACAAAATTGGTATACAGGTTAAATAATGTGTTCCACTTAACCTCTTCTATTTTGAGAGGAGACGAGATGAGATTTTTCTAAAGTTATACCTTCAAGAGAAACCCAGCCAGCACACTCAATTAAAAGCTCTCCATCAGTCCCTCTAGTTGGAGGGCGCTTGTTGACCCATTACTTACTCTCACCCCTCCCCAGCCAGTTCAACTCGAAACCTGCCAGTCAAACCAAAATCGGCACTGGCCCCTCAAACCAGAACCGGGCACTAGCTGGTTCTTATTTTGGTGGTCGAACCGGGTATTTTAAAAAAAAAATTCAAAAAAAATTATATAAAATAGATTTGTTTGTAATGTATTTTTTAATATTTTTTTATCATTTTGACAAAGATTGGAAATTATTTTGACCATGAATACTTATTGGGTGCGGTTTGTATAGAGCCTAGGCTCTAAACAATCAAATTAGAGTCTGCCTTCATATAGTGTCGGGAAATGTGGTTTCAATATTGGAAATCTTTGTAATAGCCTTAAAATATATTTTTATATTTATTTATAAAATTTAAAGCTTAAAACATAGTGTAGATTGACAGATCTATAAAAACTTGAAAATCTTAAGGATTGACGGCCAAAAAATGCATTACAAAATATACTATTTTCAAAACTTGAAATCCA